TAGGGCTTATAGGGTTGAGGGTTTTAGGGTTAAGGGCTTAAGGTTTAGGGGTTTAGGGTTTAAGGTTTAGGGCTGAGGGTTTTAGGGTTCTGGGTTTAAGCTTTAGGGTTTAGGGTGGAGGGTGTTAGGGCTTAGGCTTAAGGTTTAGCGTTTAGGGTGTAGGGTGTTCGGGTTTAGGGTTTAGGATTTGGACTAGTAAGGAGAATTAGTAGAAGAAGACGAACACGTGTAGCTGCAGCAGTTAAATCTCGTCAGCATCACTGCAACAACTCTTTCCAGTGCTTCTATTTCCATCTTAGGGAAGCGCTTACACATGCATTTACACACCTGTATAACCAGTATACTACAGAGAACCCACTGTTCGTGTCGACATAGTTACTACCAGTATCCCCTTATAAGTCCTTACTCTGATTATAACTATATACCCAAAAACCCTAATCTAATTGAACACCATAACAACCCTTATGCCATAAAGCCCGTCTGAGCCTAAACAAACATTAAAACATCTTCTAACGATTGAGCCCTAAACCCCAAACCCTAAACCCTAAACCCCAAACCCCAAACCCTAAACCCCAAACCCCAAACCCTAAACCCTAAACCCCAAAACCCTAAGCTCACATCAAGGCCGGCGGCCGTAGGTGACAAGGTCGCGGAGCCGTAGGCCCAGGTGCATGGCTGCAGAGCCCTGTAGCCTGGCCTGCAGGTTGTTTTGTGGGTTCAGGGAGTGTGGCGTTTCGGGTTTAGTGGTTTGGGTTTTAAGCGTTTGAGGTTTAGGGGTTTGGGGGTTTAGGGTCGAGGGTCTAGGGTTTAGGGTTGAAGTTTGGGGTTTTCGGCTTAGGGTTTGGTGCTTGGGGTTTTAGGGGTTTCAGGGGTTTCGGGTTTAGGATTAGGCGGTTTGGGGGTTTAGGGGTTTGAGGTTTAGGGTCTGGGATTTCGGGTTTAGGGTTTGGGGCATTGCGGTTTTAGAGGTTTCGGGAGTTTAGGGTTTTGGGTTTGTTGGGCATTGAGAGTCACACGACGTTGTTTGAATGTTGGTCCCACTTTATGGGATTCCGTACAAGCCGCTGTAGAGCTTTTTAGTTTGGGGCAGCGGCATGGGGGATGCGGCAATATGCCTCTGCTTCATGGTTTCGGGCTTCGTGCTGTGAGTCGCCAGGGCAGCGCTGCTCGATCAGGGAACTGAATTTATTCGAGTTTTAAGTAAGGAAGCCCCCTAAACCCTGAACCTTGGACTCCCAAACCCCTAAACCCTAAACTTAAAGACCCTAAACCCTAAACTCCAAAACCTTAAACCCTAAACTCTAGAACCCTAAACCCTAAACTCCTAACCCCTAAAGCCTAAACCCTAAACCCCGAACCCCATAGAAGCCCTAAATCCCAAACCGTGATTTGACAAGAACCTGGGCAGAGGCCTGACAGGTCGCAGACAGTGTTGGCAAAAGCCCCAAACCCTAAACCCTAAACCCCAAATCCCAAACCCTAAACCCTTAGTAATGGCGCCATGTGAAGTTTTGATAACAAGCCGTATGACTTGGGTTTTAAAAACCCAGTTTTAGATGGCTTTAAAAACCCAGTTTTGATACCAGACAGTGTGACTTGGGTTTAGAAATCAATCTGTGCAAGAACTGCCAGCATCTGCATGATTTTTCGCATTGCGAAGCACGGTGACCCTTGAAAACCACTTCCTGCGCGCTTTGTGCCCTGCCTTGAGGCTAGAACCGGTGCAATTCACAAGTGTCGCAGCTCAAGTGGAAGCTGTTAGTAGCTGCAGAAACTGCTTGTTGAATCTGGCTACCCCTAAACCCGAAACCCCAAACCCTATACCCTAAACCCTAAACCCTTAACCCTTAAACCCTAAACCCTAAATCCTACCCCAAGAGTACCCTGAACCTCCAGCCGCAAACCTAAGCCCTAAACCCTAAACCCTCGACCGTGAAACCCTAAATGGAGGCCGTCGCCTGCTCGCGGGCCGTGGCCCGGGCATGCACAGCCAGCGACGCAACGTAACAGGCAGGCCTGATTAAAAAAGGGGTTTAGGGTTTAGGGTTTAGGGTTTAGGGGTTTCGGGTTTAGGGTTTAGGGTTTAGGGTTTAGGGGTTTAGGGTTTAGGGTTTTGGGGCCCATTATACTGTATTTGCGGCTCATTATACTGTATTTATAATAAGGAACCCCCAAAATAGTGTTGGTAAAATATTTAGGCCCCTAGTTTACGACGTTCGCTCTGACGACTTTTGTTTCCATGACTGCGGCCGCGGTTTTTGTTAACATCCGGGCTTCACGGCTGTGCCATAATCCTGGTGACGTTTGAAATCTAGCTAGAGAACAAAGAGTTTCCCAAAGAGTCCACGCTGTAAGAAGGACCCTTCAGAGGGACCCGAATTCAGAGAAAGCACCATGCTTGGAGCACTCGAGGACTTACTATGTAGGTTATCAGCGAAGTTGTGATAAAGATAACCCCACTTTGTCATAACCCAAATGTCTTGCTCCGTGCGCTGATGCCTCAACCGAACCTTGAATCACAATCTAGATAGTAAGATCCTGATTACAGGGACACCGAAAAGGCTTCTTTGAAGGCTTACAAACCTCGCTAGACTTGTAAAACGTCATGAAATCCTTGACGCAGACGCACGCCCCTAAACCTTTTACAGCACAACTTAGACCCGAAAGCTTAAAGCACAGCTTCACAAGCCCCTAGAAACCCCAAACGCTAAGATCCTAGAAACCCTAAACCCTAAACCCTAAGACCCCAGAAACCCTAGAAACCCTAAACCCGAAGACGCCAGAAACCCAAAACCCTACCCTAGAAACCCTAAACCCTAAGACCCGACAAACCCTAAACCCTAAACCCTAAGTGACACGAGGGGGGGGGGGGGTCTCGGACCCCTCTGGCGGCCTGAGCTCGGCGATTCGCCTTTCGAAGTCGGCGATCATTCCTTGTTTAGGGCTTAAGAGTTGAAGGTTTAGGTTTTTCAAGCTAAGGTTTAGGGTTTAGGTCTTAAGAGTTTAAGGGTTTAAGGTTTAGGGTTTAGGGCTTAAGGGTTAGGGCTTAAGGGTTTAGGGTTTAGGGTTTAGGGCTTAAGGGTTTAAGGTTTAGGGTTTAGGACTTAAGAGTTTAAGGTTTAGGGTTTGCGGTATAGGGCTTGGGATTTTAGGTTTGGAATTTAAGGTGATCATTCCGGATGTTCTCGGGAGTGGGGTTTAAGGCTTAGGGTATTCTTTAAGTGTTAAGGTTTAGGGTTTAGGGCTTAAGGGTTTAAGGGTTTAAGGTTTAGGGTTTTTTTCAAGCTAAGGTTTAGGGTTTAGGTCTTAAGGGTTTAAGGGTTTAAGGGTTTAAGGGTTTAAGGTTTAGGGTTTAGGGTTTAGGGTATCGGGTTTGGAGTTTAAGGTTTGGGATGATTTGAGGTTTAGGCTGTAAGGCTTAGGGCTCTTAGGGTTTGGGTGCTTGGGGAGTACGGTGCAGGGTTTAGGGTTTGAGGTTTAGGGTTTAGGTGTTTCGGGCTTGTAGGGTTTAGGGTTTAGCATTTGCTCGGGGGTACGTCGCAGGAGGGCCCTGATATCCAGAATAGGTCTGGGGGCAGATTCTACTATAGGCAACACAGTAGGATGACTAAGTACGCAGGCGCATGCATGAGGCTCGAGGTGCGCAATTCGGGCATCAAGGTGTTCAATGAAACCCTAAACCCGAAACCCTAAAGGACAAGGCACCATGATAACTGGCACGCACTTGCCAGGAGGGCTGCCCCACCGGGGGCGCAGCGGGCTGCTGCCTGACATCATCCTCGAGCCTGTCCACGGGCTGCTTCAAGTTGCATTTCGTCTGTCGGGTCCAAGGGTTTAGGGTTTAGGGTTTAGGGTTTGGGGTGCTATTGCTATTAGTACCCCATTATGATATAAGCCCTCATGTAGCAGCCATCGTAGAGTATGGCCCAAACCCTACTCTAGCCAGTTTAGCCCCTTGTGAAATGAGGAGTGGTGAGGATGGATGAAGACTCCAAAACGGGGGGCTCTCTGGTCAAAACAAGGCTCAGGGGTATACTATACTACAGTTACATTGGGGGCTATAAGGGGACACTGCTAGCACCTTGGCAGGCTTCCTCTTCCGGCTGCAATCTGTGGTTGGCCTTTCGGGGCTTTGGGTTTAAGGATTTGGGGTTGAAGGTTTCGGGCTTCCCTAAACCCTAAACCCGCCTCTTAACCCTAAACCCTTACCTCACCTCTGAGACCCTAAAGCCCTAAACCCTAAAGCCGCTAAAGCCCCTGAAGCCCCTAAACCCAGAGACCCTAAAGCCACTAAGCCCTAAACTCTAAGACCCTAAAGCCGCTAAAGCCCCTAAACCCTAAACCCAAAGACCCTAAAGTCCCTAAACCCTAATTAAACTCTAAGACCCTAAAGCCCCTAAAGCCCCTAAACCCAAAGACCCTAAGACCCTGGAGCACTAAACCCAAAGACCCTAAAGACCCTGAAGCCCCCTAAACCGAAGGCCCCTGAAGCCCCAAGCCCCTAAACCCAAAGACCCCAAAGCCCCTAAAGCCCCCTAAACCCAAAGACCCTAAAGCCCCTGAAGCCCCTAAACCCAAAGACCCCAAAGCCCCTGAAGCCCCTGCTGCCCCTATCTCCAGAGACCCTGAAGCCCCTAAACCCAAAGATTCTAAAGCCCCTGAAGCCCCTGTTGCCCCTATCCCCAGAGACCCTGAAGCCCCTGAACCCAAAGACCCTAAAGCCCCTAAACCCTAAGCCCCTAAACCCTAAACCCAAAGACCCGAAACCCAAAACTCTAAGACCCTCAAGCCCCTAAAGCCCCTAAACCCTAAACCCAAAGATCCGAAACCCAAAACTCTAAGACCCTGAAGCCCCTAAAGCCCCTAAA